TATATGTATTTTTAAAGAAAATGAAATTCCTAAAGTCGAGCGGGAAACAGAGATAGGCATAGGCGTAAACTAAGGTGGGCAAGGGGAGCAATTGCCCCCTAGAATAAAACAGGGAGGGTAGTGTCCCCTCTGATATTAAACATACCTTGTTTTAAAAAAAGTACAAAACAGCTGTTTAAGCTGGTTATAGCTATTACTATCATTTTTTTTTTTAATCTTAATTTTCAATTTTCGCTTATCTAACATAATGTTAGAAAATTAATAATTTTATATAATAATATGTAGGTATTAAAGTGGCGTTTAGTTGCGGTCAGGGTTGAACTAGGCCACTGGGACACCGGGACCGCTGTTGTTTTGGTTAAATAAGATTACTTAGATTTTTTGTTTTTAATTTAATGCGTTTATCTTCTATTCTTATAATAAAATAAAAAATATCGTCCTGTTTAGTGACGTTACTAATGGATGCATTTTAGTTTACAAATTTAACATATTTAATGTCACGATAGGCCAATTGATAACAATGATTTCATCACAATATTTATATCATACGATGTACTGTTTGCGTTTTTTCAAACAATATTTAAACCGAAAGAAAATTTTGGTATGAGTAGAAACGGTCGTGCAAGATATGCGATAACGAAATTGTTTTTTGATAGTAATAATTTTTATAAGATTTATTAGACTTTTATTTAAAAACATTGCAAAAGTTTTGACGTTCAGTCAATAACAAGACTGTATTTATTTTCCAACCTTTCTATCGACTTAAAGTCAATTATTACCGGTAAGCTATTATTTTATTAAATTATTATATATTATATTATTTTATTAAAAACAATATGTTCTAACTCAGTGGTCGGAAACCTTTATGGACCCTTGGGCTACATTCTCAAATTAAAAATGGTTCTAGGGCCAGACAATACAAAAAATTTATATATAACGACATTTGTTAATTTTGACATTTAATGCGGGCCGTATAAAAGCGACGCTAGTTGCTGATCATTGCTCTGACTCAATTAAAATTAAATGTATAAACATATTTAAATCAAATCATTTTTATGCTGTAAAATTAATCTTAATAGGTAGGCCATTATATCAATATTATAGATACGATATATTATGCGTAAACTATATTTATTTAAGGTATAACATTAAATCTGAAAATATTCAAATGTACTTGTGTGCAGTGGCGGCTTGAAGGAGGTATATTTGAATTACGTGATTCACAGAAATATTAATGGGGGGGGGGTTGATTTGTCATATAATAAAAGTATAATTGGTTTAGGGGTGATACTAGGGTATATATTTACTCTATAAACCAATTAATTACCCATTACTTATCCACTAAAAACCTATGAATTTACCTTTTGGATAGCAGTGACAATTTTTGTAGGGTGGTTGGTGTAAAAATATTAATGTGAATCAAGAAAAAAAAAAGTTCAAGCCGCCAATGCTTGGGGGTATATTATTTTTTGAGTTACGAAGATACATTTTCAGTTAAACAATAATTTAATTTGGTACCTACTTATAAAGTTCCATTGAGGAAGTTCAAAATTATTTTGTCCGGGCCGAGCTATAAAGATGGTTGTATGGGCGGAGCGATTTTGGCCTCCAAAAATGAGATACCGTTTCCCTCTATTGTTTATTTTGCTCAACTCCCATTTTTTTCCAATTAAGGGTCTATTTCATTTTTGGAGGTATCCCGAGTGCGTCCCGTTAATTTTTACCTTTTTTATAGTCCGAGTGCGTCCGCAGTCTTATCGATAAATTATATTGAATAATCTGAGTTCGTCCGCATTTTAATCGACAAATTATATTGAATCGCCCGAGTGCGTCCTCAGTTCACTCAGGTAGTTCTTCATGTAGTAGGTAGGTACTCATTTAAGATAAAATAATCAAATAAACCTTACAGCTTTGATTGTGAAGCACTAAAACGATGGGAAAATTGCATTTAATTTTAACTTTAATAATAATTTAGCACGACTTGAACTTACTCATTTACGGTCAATAAGTGCAAGTGAACTTACATGCAAAGTAATTCCGTAATATTTAATAATATAATATATTCAGAATTTGAAAAATGTCATTGCCGTATAAATAAAACAATTTAAAAATAATAAAATATCAAGATTAGATTTTGTCAGAAGAATGGCATTTAAACACCAGCCTATAATATAGATTACCTAACCTAACTAAATAAAAAATATAATTTTTCTTAAATAAATAAAAAACCATTTAAAATAATTAGTATGCTCATCCAAATTCAAGGGTGCAAGCTAAAATAAAATATATTATTATGAATAAAAAATCACAAAATATTTTTGGGGTGTAAACCTGTTCACCTCCTCGTGGAGTACCCCGGATAACTCTAAATGAACTGGGACGCACTAAGGCTATGTCAAAAATATGACCATTTTTTTGGGGGACGCACTCGGTACATTAAATAAGGTAATATCGGGACGCACTCAGGAAACTCCCTCATTTTCCTTCAATTATTATAGATGCATTTATTGATTATTCATTTTCCTCCACTTACTGGTCACCATAATATAATATATTAAAATGGATTGTTGAGAATTATATATTATATAATTCTCTACTATCCATATTCAAATAAAATACTTACTATTTTTGGACTAATAATTTATAAACACACATGAGTACCTATTTGTATTTAATTTTCATAAAAAAAGTCAATTATTATTTATTATTATTATATTTAATTTTTATAAATTAAATTATCATTGAATATGTATTATTTTTTTATAAATAAAAAATAATTTACAAAACAACAACACATTATTCTAATAATTATTAATAAAAAAATTGATACCTAAATTTAATTATTTTAATAAAATGGGTTAACATTTTATATATTATTGTTCTATAATTAAAAACTTACAACAAATTATTTATGACAATTTCAAAGCTAGTATAATAATTTAATATACTCATGGGCTCGCGCGCCGAGAGAGCGCAAGTTGCTCAATTAGTATTACAACAGTAACGACCCACTAGTTGCAACTAGTATTATTCATTGTTTTATTTTAAAACCGCAAATAAATGACTATTGAAAAATATATAATGGACTGTGGATGAAAATTATATTTTTTGTGGAAAAAAAGAAATTTTAATTTTTTTTTTTTTTTTTAATAGAGGAAAATGGACAGTAAAAGAAAATGGTATCTTATTTTTGGAGGAATTGTTCTTTTTATTATTTTAATTGTTTTAACTTAGTTGTTGTAACTTTTAATAATTTCGTGGTTTTAAAAAAATTACAAATCGTTGATGTATCTTTATTCTGATTTATATTATAAATGAGTTTTTTTTATGGATGAATATTTTATGAATGTGTTAGTATATGTATTAAATAACATTTGATTGATTGTTGTCAGATTTTATTCTATAGATAACGTAACACGTGACTAAAATAAGCATGAATAATAAAGGATATTATTCTATTATTTATTATATTATATATTTTATCCTTTAATTAATGTTAATCATAATTAACATGTTAATGTGAAGTATATAATTTATCTGCCTGAATGCTGTACAATCTAATATAAAAAACCACAGAGAGTTAAAATAAATCAAATTTTAAAGACATCATGATCATTTTTCTGAACAAAATATTTGAAAAAAATTACCAAACGTTAAAGTTCGAACTGTAGGTTTCAGAAAGTTTCAGTTCTCATACCTCAGGTGCCTGTAATGACGTAACGGTTGTATATGAACATAATCTCATTACAACCTTTTATGACTAATACGCTGGTTACAAATCTCGGGTTATTTTAAGGTACCTATATATTCAGTGTCGAATTTAAGCGCAGACTATATAGGCTGCCGTCTATGGGTTCGCACTAAAATAGGGCTTTTACCACACATAATACTACCTACTATGTGTATATATATATAAAAAAAAAAAGGCTCTGTTTAATAATTTTATAGTATTTTTATTAATTAATTACTTAATTTAGTTTTTCAATTAAAGTTGATCAAAAACTGGCTCCGAACATCCATGACACAAGAAAGTTTCACCTTGTTGGTTTTACTTAGCATTGAGAGTGACATCAATTAGTTTACTACTCATTTGGACTCGAGACTCAAATAGTAAGTTTTTTCTCGTTCAGATATTGAAACTCAGTTTACCAGTTAACCTAACCTGGTCTAGCGGACGTAACGTTTTACTAATCCAAACAATATAATATAACAGTTGCATTTCTACGAGACTAAAACAAATAATTATTTTTCATCTGATCTAATTTCAGACATTTTGTTCATTTTATAAAGTATAAAGACAATATTAATTTTTGTAAGTTGTAAATATACTGGGCGGATACTGTGTTCTTCTGATTTTTTAGCGAGAGCGGATAAAATTAAACTAATTTTATTTTAATAATATTAAAACCTTTTATTTATTACATTTAATATTAATAAAATCATTAATGGTGTATATACAAAAAATAAAAGGAGTGTGTTATAGGGGATTAGTTAGAACCGAGGACAAGGATAGGGTGAAATGCAAAGATGGCTGACTGCTAATTATTATTAAAATAATAGTGTTTTGAAAATTTAACTATCAATAAAGAATAGTAATATTAATAATCAGTGAAAATATCCAGTCTCTACGATTATTATTTTTAGAATTAGTACTAAAAAATGTAAAAATTTATAAATTCAGTTTTCTGTAAAATTATTATAATTTATTGTAAAATTAAGTGAAAAATTCGAAGAAGATAAAAATATAATTATACTATTTAGTGTACGTTGTGTTGCTTATATAAATTCAATAATGCAGCTTTGATAAAATTTAATATATGTAGCATATACTTGTATGTATATTAGTATACATTATAATATAATATTATGTAAAAAAATGCTGTAGTGTTAGGTCATGTAAATGTGTATGCTAACAGTATCACGGGGGACCCTTGACTCGAAGTTATTTTTAAATAAAATGTTTGGCAATCTTCCATGCCTAGAAATGCGGATCACCGATAGTGATCACTAAAGCGTGATACATTTCGATGAGTCCTGGTTAACGCATTTATTTCAATATTCTTAAACGTACGAAACCCTATCGAGTTTATATTTGTGTTATATCATTCTGTTATCTTCTCCACAATTAATATTATGGACACTGTTAATCACGGATCTGCCAAGGTAGGAAGGGTTAAAAATATATCTATAATGTATTAATAAATCTATTAAAAATAAGATTCTGAAAACATTTGTAGATGTGTAAATTGATAAAATATACCTTATTTTCACAATATTTTGTAGATTCACTAATAGTGATAGATATTCATAAATTGTTTCGAAAATCAAGAAAAACAAATTCTTATAACACATATTTTGCATTTGATTTTTAACAGTAAATTTAGTATATTACTTATTTAGTGTACTTATAAGTACATATACTTTTAATTTTTTTTTTAATGCTCATTTTTTACAATTTAACAACAGTTATTTAATTAAAAAAAATGAATGTGTGTTTTAAAAGTTACTTTTTATTAAATAATAAAATATGTACTAATTTCAACGGTATGCAAAGAAAATTGTTTTTACCTGAGCAAAGAAGTACAACTTTTGTCTTAATAGCTTATAATGACCCTTTTATACAAACTTATGTTCTCACTCGTATATCAATTACGTATATAAGATGTATTTAAAAGATTGACCTACATCGAATTACTTAAATATTTATCATCAAAGTACTTATATCTCATGAATATTTTTATTAATTTAACTTATTAAAATTTCAAGTACCCAAGAATTTTATTTATTATTAAATTTAAAGAAATATATTATATATATATATAAACACCTGGCATATTTTTTAATATAATTTATTTCCATCGTTAAAAGTATTAGTTGTACAATGTAGAAACACAAATAGAAATAAGTGTTAAAGATTTTTAAAGCCTACTGTTTATTTTTATATTTAAATTTAAGGATTGCTTCACAGGATATGGGAGATATTGGTGAAGTTTTACGTGATGTATCAGATTTATCACCTGAGGATTTAAAAAAACAAAACAGAAACTTACAAAAATTTTTGGTGAAAGTGATTGATTTACTAAAAGAAAAGACCGACCGGTGCATTACACAAGAAAAACATATCGAAGCACTTGCATTACAAGTTTGTAATTTATAAATAAAATATAAATGTAACATTATATTTGCATGTTATTGACCCAAAAACTTGTACACCATTGTAATTGTAAATTTTTATACAATAATTTATGATTTTTTTTTATTGAAATTGATAATCAAATTAGAATAATAAAGTTATTGTAGTTTAATATAAGTTTTATATAATAATATAGTTAAATATATTGGTCTTTTAAACTTGAAAACATTATACTATTTATAAATATTATTTATATTTACGTTTATATTTCAAAATATGATAAATTATGTTATCAGAACCAAATTTTATAATTAAGTAAACTGAACTTTTAATGTTCAAACTTTTCTGAACACCACACTAAAATATTTCGAAATTATGAAATGTGTTTAAAATACTAATATCAAAACTCAATAAATGTTTGAAGTTATAACGATTAATATATATAGAATAACAACTAAATAATTAATATCGTTAAATGGATATTCCCTTGGATATATTCCTTTTCATTGGATATCGAATTTTGTAAGACTGATAAAACTTTTGCAACTTTCAAGCAAAATTTCTTTTGGCTAATAATAATATCATATAAAAAATTCTAAAAATTCTAATTTTCAATCTATTAGAATTAAAATTGAAAATTTCTCCAAATCTTTAGACATTTTGGAACTATTGTGTTCAATAGTCTATAATATTATTAATTATGTATCTTTAATTGTTATCATTAGACGAACTCATTGAAAGAGGTTGTAGAAATTACCAAACATATGTTGGCTATTCGTAGCTCAGAAGTAAAACGTATGACGGAAGATTTAGAAAGTTTACAAGGCAAAATTAACGAAGAAAAAATCCGTCATAGTGCGATAATCGAAAAAATGAATTTAGCTGCCAAGTTAGTTTAATCAAGTTCATTATAAATATGATCTATAAAATTAATAGATATTTTCATGGTCACTAATTTGTTAGCTTAAAACTTTTTAAAAAAACGTGTAGATTTCAAAGTTAAATTAAGATTTTTAACAACAAAAACAGTTATGCTGTATTTTTAACTAAAAAAATTATTTTGTTAAATTTATATGATGTAAAAAAAATAATTTTCTTTTTCTAAATTATTTTTATTTATTTATATTATAAGTATGCTTCTATAAGTACATTCAACGATTTCTGAAAACAACATGAGAATTTATCACTTACACTTTTTATTTATATTTTGAATGGTCAATAATCATATGATCAATTTTCAATTCACAAATATGCTTATTTATTACCATATATTATATACCAATATGATTGTGTATAATGTTTATACTATATATATCTATTATTATTATTTTTTATTTGATTTTCTATGAAAACATAAAAAAAATAATAAAATTCTAAATTATATATATAAATATTTACTACGAGTATAATGTTTTCAGATTAAATGATGAACTTAGATCCGAGTATAAACAACAATCAGAACGTTTTGAAAATATGCGTATTAAGTACGACGAAAAGTTTTCAATACTATCAGAAGAAAATAAAAAACTGCAAGAAACTGTCAAAACAAATAAAGACGAATAAAGAAATTGTATAATTATTCTGATTTTAAAAATTGTGCGTGTAATCACGATTATCCTGAGTTTGTACATTATATTTATGCTGTATAAAAGGATAATAATCAAATTAATTTGTTGATATACGAAATACATACAGGTATACAACATAAATATTCATTGAATAGCATAATGATCTTATAAAAATATGAACTGTTTCATACAATTGTTTTCAAATATTATACGAACCTATCACTTGTTTTTATTGAATTTATGTTGATATGTTATTTTTTCATAACTCTTATGAAAAACCAGTTTAATTCAAATTTTATATCTTAGAGAAATATTTTATCAATAACTAACTACAAAAAGTTTTTTTTGTTTTGTTTAAGATTTAACAATTGTTTATACTTAATGCGAACAACGTAGTACATCTCTTTAGAGTTTTTTTATACGTAACATTCTGTATTCATAGCCAGAAACTAATACCCAAAGGTGGCCGCCAACATATAAAATCTAATATGACATTTGATGTACAGTGTATGCGACCCCTTTACTTTACACGATTATTTAATTTTTATAATAATATTTACGTATAAACGAAGAATTTCAAAATGTTTTAACTTAATAGATCATTTTTAAATTAACTGGGAAAAGCTAAGTTATTTCAACTGCTAATTAAACTAGTTAAGTTAAAATATTTAAAAAAAAAAAAAATTAAATTTTTAACCTAGCTTGAACTTCTTAAATATTTAATGTCCACCTTTGAAGATGGATAACTGTATAATAGAATCATGTAGCATTTCGATTGTCCCAAATAATATTATTACCACAGCTCATATCGTTTATAATTTAAATTACTATGACAAACCGTTTCCCGTTAGGCGTTATTCATGACCAGTGGTGGACTGGATGACCAGTGCCACAGGCGATTATTACCCCCTATATTATTACCGGAGAGGGGGTTATTAATCGCCTGAGGTAGGTAATAATCGCCTACAGTAACAGGCGATTATTACTCCCCTAAAGGTTGAGCCCCCGGGGGGGATGACGAGGATGTCATATACTAATAATCTCTCCATAACCTACTTTTTATGCTTATGTGCTTATTATAAGAATTCAGCATTTTTGATTAAAAATGTGTTAAAGAAAAAAACAGTAATTTATTACCAACACTTCTGAAATCAACTCAATGTTTTTAAAATTGTTTAAAATATAAATATAATAAAATAAGTTATGTGATAAATTACATAATTAAACATCCATAACTACATCATAGTGTACATTGTTGATGTTCCTTATGTAAAAGCACTTTTGAAAGTTGAAGGCGTTAAAAATATTTTAATAAAATATTTAACAGCAATTGTTTTAATAATTTTTAGCCAAAATTAACGTTTTTCAACTTGTCGTTTATTGCTGTGTCATTTTTTTACCCGTCGATTTTTACTGATTACCGAATCGCTCCGTGTGTTTGTTATTAACAGTTAATTGATTTCTACACCTCTATTCAATATACCTATATATCTATTATTTATAATAATATTATCGTGACTAGAAAACTAAAACTAATAAGTTTCCCGGTGGACCGATGCTCGTATAAAATATAATATTTATTAATATCATTATTGTGAAATTATAAATGAAAATATTATAAAAATAAGTAATAAGTATCTAATATCATTAAACATAAAAATACTGGATTTTTGTATATTTTAAAATGTTGGACCGGCTTGTGTTCGGGTGGTCCCGGCTTGTTGACAACTTATTGTTACAAGCTTAAAAATAGAATCGAAGATAGTTAATAACCATGTAATACATGAGCTGTTATAGATGTGTGTGAAGTTAGCCCCCCACTATAAAAAATACTTTCCAAAATAATTGTAACCTTATTTTCTTAATTTGTAACTATTTGTAACCAAGTTTTTAGAATTTGTAACCTCATATTTTTCAAGCTACGGGTATTTTTTCAATGAGGGGCTAACTTCACGCGACCCCCCCCCCAATTCAACGAAATCGTCCAAAACAAATTGTAACTTATAAAACCCAATTTGTAACTATTTGTAACCATCTTTTTAGAATTTGTAACCTCGGCTCTTCCGAGTAATTGTAAATTTTTCAATGAGGGGCTGGTCCCTTCCAATTCAACGGAATCGTCCAAAACGAGTTGTGAATTACAAAACTCAATTGGTTATTATTTGTAACCAGATTTTTAGAATTTGTAAACTCATCAATTTTAAGTACCGATGGATTTCCTAAAGAAGATAACTGAATAAAAAAATTAATTTTTAAATTTATAATATCACCCAGTTCAATCAATTCGTCTAGAACAGATCGTAAGTTGAAGAAAATAAATCTATATTTAAGAAAAACAAAATCTTGAACGAATAAATGTCTTAATTAACTAAAATTTTACTTTTATTTTTATTTGATTAGACTAAAATCTTAAATTAAAGATATTTTACAACATACTCAAATTATAAACGTATTTTTGTTTGTTTTGTTGTCGAACCACCCGGGACGGACGGGCTTTTAGCCCACTTGTCCGCCGTACAACCACGCTCAGGGATCAACCGATAATCACGTTATGTGTGCCTTCCGAAAACGGAATATATCTACTATTTGGATCATTCTGCGAGACGGTAGATTGAATTTGATGAATATTTAACTTATTGTATGCATACGAGTATATATCAATATTATAATATCTATGAGGTGAATTTTGAAGTACGATAACCGTGCTTTTAAAGCTATGCGATTCTTAAGATTTTAATAGTTTTCGGTCTAAAAATCTGTCTATTTTCTATTACGTGTAGTACGTATTTGCCGATCCTGGAACAATGGAAATTCATTGTTCTCCGGCTGGTCTTGTTGGTTTTGCTCGTCCTGCTGGTCCATCCTCCGCCGCTACTGAAATTAAAAGTATGGTTAGTGAAGTTAATCATACAAATTTAAATGATATTTTTGGCAAATTGATTTATACAGGTGCAATTGAAAATATAAGAATAAAATAAATATAAATATCTAAATAAATTGTAAATTATTTAATTATGATTCTTTATATACAATTTACTATTTGTAGACTGTTGATGAATCTACTTCAAAAATTAATATCATTGTCAATGATGTTAATAATCATAATGTTAATGATAATGTTTTTGAAGAACTTACAGCTACAGGAGCAACTAAAAAAGGAAGAAAAAAATAAAAAAAGTTTCTTATAATTTATTTCTAATACCTATTGTCCTATTTATTTATTGATTGACTATAAATAATAGTAATAATAAAAAAATCTGTTTTTAATTTTAATAAAATTATTTGTAATAAAATAAATATGTTAATTATTTTATTATTTAATATTTGTACACAATTTACTATTTTTAGAGTATTGATGGACTTAGTTCAGATATCAGAAATATTGGTAATGACAATAATAATGAAAAGTCAAATGATAATGTTTTTGGAAATGTTATAGTTAAAACTATAGCTAAAAATGTAAGTATAATAAATAAGTTGTATGTAATACATATTTAATTTTATAGTTGTATTCTGCAGATAATATAATTATTATTAAATAATCGTAAGAAACAAATATTACGGATAAACATGATAAAGTATTTCATAAAAATGTACATAATGACGTATTGTATTGACACAAATACCATTATTGAAAAACCATTTCAGTTTATGCTCGATCAATTTTTTGAATTTCATCCTATTCTACCACTTGTTAAACATTTATTTAAATCACCCAAAGCATATTTTAGAAAGAATAAAACCAATCGGTGTTAGTTAAATTTTAATAATAATTCAATGACAATATACTGCAGTGTATGTTTGGAATTTTCATCAGAGCCAAATTTATTCACACAAGGGCTTAAAATATGGACATATGTTAATCAGCGTATTGATGAACATGAAAACAGTAATCATAGAAATTGTTCTGAAGCATATCTTTATATTTTCAAACAAAAAAAATATTGATTTTTTATTATTTTCTACACAAAAAAATAGTAAAAAAGAAGAAGCAAAGAAAAATATTCAAATAATTGAAAGAATAATTGATGTTGTAAATAAAACTAATTGGTAAAAGAGGTCTTAGCTGCCGGGATCATAGGAATGAGTCCACATTGTCGTTATTAGTCTCCGTAGCAGACCATGATAATTTTCTAGACATAATATTACTTTTTAAAAAATATGATATTGTTTTAAGTGGACATATTGATAAAATAGTTAAATGTGCTCAAGTAAAATCTGCAAGTCATAAGTCAACAACTGTTCAACGTAGAGGGTCGTTAGCAACTTTTTTTTATCAAAAACTACTATTAATGAAATAATTGATATAATTAATATGTTGATGAAAAAATCAATAGTTATGAAAGTTTAAGCAGCTGGTATGTTTTCCATTCAAATAGACACAACACAAGATATTTCAGTTCAAGATCAATGTTAAATCATTATACAATATGTCAATATGATTGGTGTTAATGAAAAATTATTTGCAGTAGTTAATATGAAAGATTCAAAAGGGAAGAGCTTTCATACTATGTTGGAAAATGTTTTAACTAAAAATGGACTGAACATTGAAAATATTATAGGGAATGCTACAGATGGAGCAGCAAATATGCAAGGCCAATATAATGGGTTTTCTGCTTGGCTATCTAAATCATCAACCAATCAAGTGCACGTGTAGTGTTATAGTCATATTTTAAATTGAGTTTTAGTTGATGCTACAAGTATAACACTAACAGCAGCTTCATTATTTATTTTATTAAACAATATTGCTGTTTATTTTAAAGAATCATATAAACGTATTGAAATCTGGAAATCAATAATTGGGAAAAATCACAAAAGACGACTAGCAACGATAGGAAATACACGCTGGTGGTCCAAAGAAAAGGCATTAGACCAAATTTTTGGAGACAATGGTGGTTTGTACATTTCTCTAATTATAGCATTAAATACTATTGAGTTGTCAGAATCCTTTAATTCTGATATCAAAGTGAAGGCCAGAAATTTTAATTTTTAAACTTTTACAATACTAAATTATTTTGACAGCATTTATTTTTTTAAATATATTCAAAATTTTTGGTCCATTATCTAAATATCTTCAATCCAAGGGTATGAATTTGATAAAAGCCCAGGAGTTAGTAAATTGTGTATTAACACAGTTAAAACAAATTCAAAGACATTTTGGAGATATAAAATTAAAAGCCGATAATTTTATAAACTATATAAATGAACAATTTGATGAAAAACATGATATGGATATATTAATTGAGATGATAACCATAAAGATATATAAATAGAACATAAAGATGAACCAATATTATGCCCTGAAAAAAGATATAGTGTTGAAGTTTTTAATATAATTTTAGATCAAACTATATCTAGTATAGAAAATACATTTTCAACTAATAAGTCTTTGTATTAAGATCTAAATTTTTTATCACCCAACAATTTTGAAGATTTGCAAAAACAAAACATACCACCGAATGCTTTAAAAAAATTGTATGAAGTCTTATGTAAATTTGATTCTGATATAAGTTATGATCAACTAAGGGCGGAATTTCATAGCTTTATTAAAAATTTGAATGGATTAAAAAAAATTATTACCAGAATCATTTGAAATGGAATTAAATGAAAGTGAAAGTGAAAATGAAGAAAATAATGAGGAAAATAACACTGTTAAATTAGAATGTAAATTCTGCAATAATTGTGTGGTATGCTGCTACAATGTTCTGATAAAATAAAATTTATACAGTCATGCATATCATTGCTTGACCATAGCTCATCAATACTTATTGACATTGCCGTGTAACCAAGTAAGTATGCAGTTGGAATGTTTCCAAACATTTTTATGTATTTTATTTTAAAGATCTAATTGAATTTTTATAAAAATTATTAATATAGGTAGCATGCGAGAGATCATTTTCTTTATTAAAAATAATTAAAACTCGTCTGAGAAATTCAATGAATGAAGAAAAATTGGACGCATTTATGATAATGGTAGTCGAAAAAATGTTCTATTTATTATTGACAATGATGATGTTATTAATCTGTTAAAAACTAAAAACTAAGAGTGATTTATTAAATAATAAACTTTCTTATTAAAGTAATTGATTAAAATTGATTTTAATTTATATTTTATACATAAAAGTTACTAAAGTATATACAAATTGACTAGTTATTTTATTTTGTATTATATCAATTAATTTAAATATTTATAAACTTAAAACCTAAATATATATATTATATATAAGACCGTTAGTATTCTGAGGATCTCTAGAATTATGATTTTCCCGGGCTGTTTTTTTCTCCCATTCCGCCATTGTTCATGACACATAAGTATTAAAGACTATGCGGTCAAAACAGCTAAGGCTATGCTTTGTATACCTAACTTATCTACGACTTAGCGTAATATTAGCAAATTCCTTGTCTTATGTATGTGGTTCTAAACTAATTTTTAAGAAATAATATCTTATGACAAACTCATGTTGAAAATACTTTAAAAAATTTAATTTCTTTTGCTAAAATATAATACTTTAATCCAAGAGTGGTCAATATGAATATGTTCATGAGCCACACATATATAAATAAATATATACAATAACATCAAGAGTCAAAATGTTTATAAATACGTTTTATAACTTTTATAATTTGATCTAAGTAATAATTTTTTTTTTTATTTATCTGGAACAATGAAATATTTTTATAATTTATTTATTTTTTACAGTATTTTTAATATTTTATACAATGAAATATTTTGTAATAATGTATATCAAAAAAAAAAAAACAAATATAGCAAACCGATCAAAGTATCAGACTTGGGTAAAATACTTTTTAAAAGTATTTAGAATAAATACTCGAATACTTATAAAAAATAGTACTCCAAATATGTATTCAAATACTTTATACAAATTGTATTTCGAATACTTTTAAAATACTTCTAGTTTTCATACTATAAAAATAATAGATGTCCACTTAACAAAAATATTTGAAATTGTAGACTAAATATATGTTATTTTATTGTACTTTTATATTTCATAACTGTTATTGTTTATGGTTTATAACAATAATAAATACCTGATATTAGCTTATACAAGATACGACGGAGAAGTAATAAAATCATTTAAAAAAAGAAACGATTTGACGTTATTCAAAATACAATATTCAGTATACTCGTTATAAGTATTCAAAATACAGTGGAACCTCGATAAGTCGAAATTCAAGGGAAATGCAATTTTTTCGACTTATCAAGGTTTTCGAGTTATCAAGGTTTTAGAAAAAAAATTCGACTTAAAGAGTTTTAAAAATGTATGTATGCATTAAAGTTTTTAATTATTATGTACTTAGTATATATGTATATACAATGTAAAAAAATGTGATTATAAAGATTATTTAAATAAAAAAATTATTACAAAAAAATATAATAAAACATGTGTTGCAACTTTATAAAAGATAATTTATTATTTCAGTGGCGTAGATACAATTTTTTTCTGGGGGAGGTTGTTTAAGAGTAAGTTTTTAAGTGTTCTTAGTATATCTTAAAACGAGGTCATATGTAATAATATTACATTTAAAATGGTATTATTATTATGTCCCGTATTTAATGAAAATTATTTTGTTACTCAATTTTTAATATATACCTAATCATAGTAAAATCAAAATATTTTACTATAATATGTAAATATTAATAAATAATAATCAAATATCAATAAAAAAAATTTGTAGGGGGAGGGTGGAAACCCCTTACACCCTCCCCGTAACTACGCTACTGTATTATTTTACTTTGACTTAAATTTTGAAATTTACTATTATCAATTGTATTTTCTATTACATTTAAAGTAGAGTACACTTTATCGTTCACATTACTCAATTGTTCAGTGAATGTCCTTAGCAATATGAGGGCTACTGTTGCTTGCTTCATTGAAATACGATGCACAGGCTCAGATGATGCTTCTTCGATGTCATCAACATCTTCAGTGCCACGGACGGAGTCAGTTATATCGTCGTCTGTCAGAATACTAGAAACGGCAACATCATGGTTGATTTTAACAAAATCGTCAAACGTTTCTTCCACGATTCTATAACGACTTGCTATCATCGCCCATTCTCTGTCATCCGTATCAGTATTTTCGATTATAGGCATCAATGTGTCGTCTTTCTCAGATTCAAGTACAAATCCACACGTTCTAAAGCAGTTCACGATTGTTGACGTTGCTACGTTTCTCCATGTCTTATCAACAATGCGCATAGCTTGAAGAATATCGATTACTGTAGATTTTTCGTCATCCATATCACTTATAATTTCCTCACTATTTCTTTTCTATAAAGCGTCTTGAACGTTTTAATAATTCCTTGGTCCAAAGGTTGCGATTTTGATGTGGTATTTGGCGGTAAAAATTTTACTTTTATAACTTGACAATTCGGTATAATATTGTGAGCCGGGCAATTGTCTATAAACAATAAAATTTTACGTTTTTGTATTTTCATCTGTTTGTCTATTCGTAATAGCCATTCAGCAAACAATTCACTAGTCATCCATGCTTTCTTATTTGCTGTGTAGTCAACAGGAAAAGATTTGACACCAGCAAAACACCTCGGGTTTTTCGATTTTCCAATTATTAAAGGTTTCAATTTATCTGTACCAGTCATGTTAACAGCCAATAATAGTGTAAGTCGTTCTTAGCTATGTTTACCACCACTGCATTTCTCATTTTTGAATGTTAAAGTTTTATCTGGCATACATTTGTAAAAAAGTGCAGTTTCATCTGCATTAAATATATCACATGGTTTATATCCTTCCAGTAGCTCACTCAAATTTATTTTCCATTCATTTACAACATTATCACTGACACTTGCACTTTCACCACAGACTTTTCGAAAAGAAATATCGTGTCGTTTTTTTAAAATTTTCAAGACACCCGTTACTGGCCTTAAATTGTTCGTGGCCAAATGATTTTGCGAAATTTTCTGCTTTTTCCTTTAAAATAGGACCTCCGATACTGACATTGGCATCTCTGCATTGCTTGAACCACTTAACTACACATTCTTCTACGTCTGAAAAATCAGGACCTCTCTTCCTCTTCCGGTCTACTGGAAAGTTTAAATCGATTTCCTTACTATTTTTTATTATGGTTGATAGTGTACTGGCTGGTATTCCAAATTCTTCAGCGATGTCCTTCTTCTTCCTTCCACTTTTCACTGCTTCAAGAACCTTTTTTTTTTCTCCAATAGTAAGAGTTTTTAAATTACGAGGCATTTTTACATTCACTACCGTACACGGACACCGCACACGCGTAATCGATCGATCGCAACTGGCAATACCGATACAAATTAAAAATACTGTTACGTGCCAAGGTTAGTTAATACATACGATAATAAACACAATAAACGCGATTAGATAAAATTATCGGAACGGACAAGCCGATTAGACAAATGTTTATAAAATTATCTGTCATTATCCGTCATATTCGGAGCACAGAATGTTCGAGTTATCTATAGTTTTTTTTTTCGAGTAATCGAGGTTTTCGCAAGGGGGCGGAATTTTTTTCGACTTATCAAGGTTTTCGACTTATCGAGGTTCGACTTATCGAGGTTCCACTGTACTTTATTGAATTATTTCAAAAAAATGATTTATAAAGTATTTGAAATATTTAAAAATTATTCTTAATATTGTATTCGGAATACTACCCAAGTCTGCAAAGTATCACATTAAATACCATTTTTTAAAACATTAAAATTATATGGTACTAGCTGAATACTCGGTTCCGCCCGTGTATATGTATTTAATTTAACTTATTTTTAATTAAAAAATTAATTTTTTTTTGTTTTTTTTTTAGCTTCTTATATAACCTAGTTGAAAAAACTTTTTAAATGCAATGTAAATGTATGATTTTTTGCTAAAACAAAAATGGTAGTGGAATTCCTTGCACATGAATAAGCCATACTTAGTATTATTAGTTGTATGCTAATTTTTCAAATAATACAAATTCAAATACTATATATACCCAGACTTATTAAAAACATAATTATCGATATCAAATTATGTAATTTGAAAACAACACTTTTCATTCCTTATTCTGTTGAAAAAATGCCACGATTCATTTCTATCGGTTGAAAAATTATAAGGTATCCATTGGCTCACCAAGTGATGGACGTGAAATTTCACCACCAGTACAACAAATAACTGAGGATTCTTCTTTTCTTTTAATTTGTTACTGTATTTTTTATTTTTTATCTTAAAACAATTTATTAAAAATATTTACAACAATCAATCATATGCTTTAGGATTTCTTCGCTTGGTAACTTTTTTGTCGGGATCAAAAGTGAATCTTCCTGCTATTATTTCAATCAAATTAGTAAATTAATTTGTAATATTCACATCTCTAGAATTATTATTTGATGTACTTATATGGTATTCTTTAATTGAACAGTGAATGTTTTTCCCTATGGCTCGTATTTTTTTTTTACTATAATGCATTGATTTATTTAAAAAATGTAATTTATAAATAATTAAGAATATAAATTACTATCATTATAATATGATAATAAATTCAATAATATGTCAATTTGATCACGGTTATCAATTTTTGTTTATCTTCTTATATCATAACATTTTTGATAGTGGAATATAGACATATACAGATATCTTTATATGTCTATGTTGTGGAACGAATAGTGGTATTATCTTCCACAAATATTGCTACGGTTATAGACATTTAAAACCATAACCGAGGTATTTATCAAATAATATAAAGTAATTTAAAGTAACACTTTTTTTTAACACATATTTACTAGTTAGTCATTTTTTGGTGCATTTATGCATATTGTATATTTTTCTATTTATTAGAGCTATATAAGTCCTTAATAATTTTACTCGTTTATTTTTTTTTACAACAAAATATTTGGTACTTTTTATTGTGTATAGGTATTTAGTCATTTTTTTGTGCATAAATGCATGCATATTTGTGTATTTTATTGAGCTAGAAGCCCCTAACCCAAATAATAATCATAATAACTGATAATATTTGTTTCCATATTCTTTAACTTGCAAATTGGTCAAAAATATATTATTGTAAATTGAAAACATGGTTAAGATAAAGAATAGGCCAGCATAGACTAACAGGTTTGGCTTTGATGCATGTGCATAAAAATATTATTGTATCCATTGATGAAACAATCAATAAATTTGCCAAAATGAAAAAAAAAATTTGGAGTTTGTTATTTGACTACTTACCAACCTTATGTTTTCTACTTAAATATTTGTTAAATTAAGTTGCCTATCTTAATTGTTTTTTAAAGTTTTTAAAAAATAATTAATAGGTAATATTACTACTATGATTATTTGTTGTTTTTTTATACAGGATTCAGACTGAAGGTACAATTTTAATATAAGAACTATTTGTGTTGTTATTATTAATACTTATTTTATATGAAGTAGATTTTAAATATATTTATAAAATAAATATTTAATTCAATATGGTACTTGTATTTTTATTCATTCACTCGAATGAGCAATAGGAACATGAGCTGTAGGTAATGAACCATTGGCGTACCCAACAATTTTTTAGGGTAGGGGGGTCCAACATTTTTATTTTATCTGTTCTTTAATTATAATTATAGTTTAATTCAATACCAACAGTAACTGTAATTTACCAACTGTAAATAACTATAGTAATAGTCACAATAGTTATACACACATCATATATATTCTGCACAAAGGTTTACTATTTATAATAGGTAGGTAGGTACTATAATTTGAAATCAATTTTTATTTGGTAATAAAATGTTATAAAAATACATTATTTAACTAATTATAATAAATAATATTAAAAAGTAGTATAAATTAAATATGGTTTATACATTACAGGTAAGTATATTATATAATCTATAAAATTTGTATATTGAAGATAATGGGAAATTAAAATACACTATGTACTATTTACTTTTAAACCATTGAGTGTGTAGAAATTTCAATGAGGGTTCCAGACTCGACCCCCCACCCCCTTGAGTACGCCGCTGTAATGAACTGTAAATTTTTTTTTTAAGTTTGTATTGAAGATAAATTAGTTTCCCCCCCCCCCCCACATGGCCTCAATTCAAATACGCCCTTGAGATAGTTGAGCGCCCCAGTACTTCTATTTCTTTGCCTTCCTGCATACTTCTTATAACTTTTTCAAGAGCTAGATTGAAGAGTACGAGAGACAGCGCGCCCCCTTGTCACATTTGACCTTAAACTCCTTTGATGTTTCTCCAAGAAAACTTACTTTGCAAAGTACATTAGAATTGCAACATGTTAATAAGTTAACCAATTTCTTTGGTATACCAAAATGTATAAGTGTAGACCATAGCCGGTCTCTAAATAATACTATCATAAGCTTACTAGAAGTCAATGAAAATCATGTGTAGGTCTTTGTCATACTCATAGTACTTTTACATCACCTGTCTGAGGGTGAATATATGGTCAGTAGTGGACTTGCCTTTCATAAAACCACACTGGTATTCACCGATTATTTCTGTTGAATATTTTTCGAGTCTATGTAAGATGGCTAATGATAAGACCTTATAAGCAGTGTCCAAAAGGGATATTCCCCGGTAATTTTTCACTTTTTTGGGGTCCCCTTTTTTGTAAATCGGGTATATAATAGAGGTGTTTCAACCCTTTCTTAATTTTTTTTGCATCCATATAGTTGAGATGGTTTTGTGTAAGTTTTCCAAGAAGTCCCGTCCTGCAAGTTTAAGTAACTCAAGGTTTATGTTGTCCTCTCCGAGAGCTTTGTTGTTCTTCAGTGATTTCACTATTGATTTTATTTCCTCCAAACTAGGTTCTGGCACTTTTGGGTTCACTGTAACATATATTTGATCGTCAGCCGGTTCCCAAATTCCATCTGTATTGTTTGTTTTATCGTCTGATTTATTGTTTAATAGATTCTTAAAATATTTTTGAAACTTGCCTATAATAATTTTGGGGTCCGATACGAGGTTACCGTCGTCATCAGTTATAAAATAGATATGAAATTTAAAGTCTTCTGTTATTGATTTATATTTTTCAAAAAACATTTTCGGGTCTTTTTTATATGACTCAATGTTATTTAGGGTGTTTTTTTCTGATGCTCTTTTCTTTTGTCTGATTATTTTATTTGAACTTGCAAGAAGTGGAGTATATTTCTTGAAGTCGAAAAATGTTGTATCAATTTAACTCTTGCTGCTTTTCGCTTTTTTATAGCTTCTTGACACTGTTATCAAATCAGTGATTCTTACTTTTTCCCTTAGTAGTTTGGAGAGTTTCTGCTGCTTTATTTATTGATTTCTTTATTTGGGTCCATTTTGTTACGTTATTCAATTCTCCTTGTATTATGTTAAAGCAGTTCAATTCTTCCTTTGTTCTTTTTTGGTATTCCATGATTTCATTTTGATTTCTTAATTTACTTCTATCTAGTTTATGTGCTGTATTAAGTTGTTGCTTTTTTCTCCAAATTGTCTACAGTTTTAACGATAGACTTGTTATCACTAAGAAGTGGTCTGTATTCCCATTCGCGCCCTTATAGCACCTGACATCTTTTGTGCTTATTCTGTGTCGTTTGTCAATAATTATATGGTTGATTTGAATTTTCGTTTTACCATCTGGGGCAGTCCACGTATACTTATGAATGTTCATTCTAGGGAAATAGGTGTTACTTATAATAAGATTTTTCGATTTTGCAAAGCCAACTAATCTCAACCTATTATCATTAGATACTGGGTACCAACTTTCTTGGCCTATTGTTGGTCTACAAAATTGTTCTTTACCAACCTGCGCATTCAGGTCACCAGCAATTATCTTGATGTAGTTGTTTGGTAGTGAGTCAAATAATCTCTCTAGGTGTTCATAGAAAATATTTTTCACATCATCTTGGTCCTCTGTCGGGGCATAACCATTAATTATAAATACATCGAAACTCAATCCTTCAACTGTAAACAGAGCATCTATTGGGTAAGTTTGATAAATTTATAATATTATTCAGTATTTTCTATCTAATTAAGTTTTAATTATTGCAGTACATGTTTAACATTAAAATATAATATATCACTTTAAACTATTTTTTATATTTTTTATTTTATGTTTGTTAATAAGTCATGTTAGACATTTAAACGTATAGACTTTAACATATAGAACAGGTACAATGATTTAGGTACCTCGGAACAACAATAAATTAAATTTGGGATTATTCATTAGAAATAAAATGTAGAATTGAAAAAGCTAGAGAAGCATTACGAAAAGGTATTCAAGTTTCATGATCTGTTTTTTGCTAAAAAATTCAGACTGTTAAGGTGTTATGTGTTGTCTGTATTATTATATTGAGTCGAAACCGGGACATTAACAGATTTAACATGCAAAAAAATTGAAGCCTTTGAAATGTGGTTGTATAGACGTATGTTATAAATGTCATGGATAGATCAAGTTACTAACCAAAGGGTATTGGAAAGGATGGGCAAAGAGAAGGAACTATTAACTACAGTAAAAGCTCGGAAGCTTGAATACATTGAACACAATATGAGAAATAATTAACGATACAATATAATCCAGCTTATATTACAAAGAAAGATAGAAGGAAAAAGAAGTGTCGGAAGAAGACGAATATCTTGGATGAAGAAACTCCGCGACTGGTACAATACAACATCAATAGATTTATTTTGGGAATCATTTGACAGGAATGACATCGCCAATATGATATCCAACATCCGGAACGTATAGGAACTCATAGAAGAAGACATTTAAAATGTTTAAGCCTGTAGAACTTATAAGTAAGGTAAAAAGTCTTACCAAAGAAGTTAATAAAATAAAATATAATTAAAATTATTAAATTTATTTATTTATTCATGATAAAAATGATCTAACATGTTTAAAAAACTATATTATATGATTATGTCCGGGACATATTTTATCCAATTTTGTCTATCCATTTTATCCTCTATCACAATATCCTATCATCCCAGGGGCGTATTTAGACTTACTTCTAGGGGGGGGGACTCAATTTTTTTCTTTAATGCATATTTTTCTTTAATTTTTTTCTAAAAATTTACAAGTAAAATTGTTGGTAATATTTAAATCAGGAGAATCCTTAATATTTGTGTTTTTTTTTTTAATCTAATGTCGGATCCACTTACAATCGACTTTTGTATAGTTCTTTATTAACATCTGTCTATGTTTTGAAAGTTACGCTTGTGTTTTATTTGATTTTTCACTGAGTATGGACCCGACAAAAATCCCAATTCATTACATTAAAAATTGACCGTGATGTTACCACTGATACTGATAAAATATAATAAATACATCATTATACGTACCGCTCGCCTTCAATTATTATATTTTAATATGTTTTTTTGTATTTTTTCCTATCACTCATTCGTATTTTATTACAAACATTTTTGTAGAAAATTGTTAAATAATTCGATATCGTTATATATCGTCATTTAGTCTGACATGCTAACATAAATGATTCATTTAATTCACTCATGTCTGTTTTTCAAAATATCTTAGGTCAAATTCACAATAAAAACTATATTTTTTCGTTGTGATTTTTAATAGGATTATTTTCTTCATCAACTAAGTCAGTTTTAATTTTTCTGATAAATACAGTGTTAATTTTGTAATACATTAAATTAATTGATGTTTCGATTTATTTTTATTTTTAATATTTTTGGGAAATATTTGTAAATAGAACTAAAATGTTGACCATTATCGAATAATCCATTAGCAATATTACACAGAACTTTTTTAAAATTAATATTTATGCCATTGTCATTAATTTCAAATATAATAATTCCTTAATTAATTGAAAACGTGTGAAGTAAAAAATATATTTTTCTTTAATTCCTAGCGTGTTTACTAGACCATTTTCAATATTGAATTCTATAATTGCATTCAATTCTAAATTTTATAATTTATCTAGATAACCCCAACACGGCCAAAACTTCACCCAGGCTTCAGCTAGGAAAATTATGAATAGGGAACGGATTTTAATTTAGTACAAAATTAAAAATATTTATATATATATATTTGTGTATTACTTCATAAATATTTATTTATAATATTGAAATATTTAATTGAAAATAAGATAGAAGTCACTATAATTTATAAATAATACATAATACAAATTAAACATTTTTATTCTGAATCATTGAAATACTTTTCGAGGGGTAAAGAGTTAGAAATGACATATAATTTGAGATTTTCAAATTTAAAATTACGGTGATTCGATTTTATTATTGCTTTATATCGGCTAAATGACCTCTCCATATGAACAGAAGTGATAGTAATCTATTTCTAAATTGTTTTTTGGAGTTTTGTTTAATAGTATATTACTGAAGTTATAGCGTTAAATCCTGGTTTTTTCTCCAATATATTTTGAAATTTTGAATTAGTTAAAACTCTAATTTCTCTAGGAACATGTTCCAATTGTTTTATGGCATTATCAACTATTTTTAGGCTCTCGGTTAATGCCATTTTAGAAGTTTCTCATTTTGAAATAGTATCAATTAAAAATCCAAAATGAAAGGAAATCAATGCTACACTTTTTGCAAGTTTTTGCATTTCATGAGTTTAATAGTTTTTTTTATTACAATTGCAGCATCGGATTCTAAATTTAAAACGTTAATTTTTTCAAAGTTATTCGAGTAGTTTAAAATAACTCATAGCCACGTACTCCATCAAGTTATAATATAATATAATGTATATTATAAAAAAGATTCAGGAAAGAGGGTTTAATTTGGATTCATATAATTATATGTTTGTCTACGACTTGTCGCTTTTAAAAATATTTTTTTTAAGTATATTTTCGTCCACCATAAAATACTAAAATAAAAACGGAAATTCTACAATAATACAAATTTCCTACGTATATATATATATATATATATATATATATTTGTAAAATATTTAATTATTATTTATTTATTTATTTATTTATAAAATATTAAATTATTCTAAAATATTTTAAAATATTTAAAATAAAATTAGCATCAGCCTATTTAAAATGAAATAAAACGTATGCATATGTTAAAAGCTTTTCAATGTTAAAACTACATAAAAATATTTATTTAAATTAAAATCCGTTCCTTACAGATAAATGTTCAATTTATAAGCCATAATATGTACATTCGTATTTTTTATCGTAAACACATTTAGGTTATATACAAATTGTAAATACAACAAGGTAAACTGTTTTAAGAAGTGTTTCTGATATAAATCCAAGACTTATGTATTATAATACTTTTACTAAAGTACGTAAATATTTAATTATTCATGCGCAAATTTATTTGATTAATGTAAATGTAAATTTGATCTTATGTAAGATGTACAGTTTATGTTTGCAATTGTAATCCATCTCGTGTTGTTAACGTTTAGGGCTTTATTAGGCAATCTTTTTTATTTTATTTTAGTTGAAACATGTTTATTATTCTAAGGATTATAGTAGATTAGTGACACAAGCAATAATCAATAAACCGAATAAAAGACGTTCAAGATTCTAGACAATAGAGAAAGACAAGAGTTAAGACGGCTGGATAATATAAACATGATATAAGAAATAAAAGTATTCGGAAAAAATTACCAAAGAAAAAATGTACCCCAACAATAAATTATCTGAGAAAAAAAGTATTATATTATTCATTGGTATAGTAATCGATTAATTTGTAAGAAATCATGTGAATATATATAAACAACAGTGAATGAATCACAAAAATAAAATAAAAATTAATAAAAACATAAAATATTTACATATATGTTATTTTTATCTTACCTATAAAATTAACAAGATTAGTATACCTTACATCCATATTCAAATAAAAAATTAATTAAAAACGAAAAATTTTTTAAATATACCCATCAAATTTCAAACATTTTTGTTGAACAAAATATTAAGATTTTAATGCTTGAAAAAATGAAAAATAATGTTAAATGAAAAATTCTATCTTTTATATTCAGAGTGATATTTTTTGTTGATTTTAATTATTCAGTCAAGTTATTTAAATTCACTAAACAATAACAAATTAATAACTATTGGAATATAAAAAGAGCATAGTTAACAAAACTTTTCAAACACCTATCAATTTAATTATTTAAATATCATAATATTTGTATAGTTGTATATTTTAAGTTCAAAACATAATAATGAAACTACGAATATATTACACGTCATCAATAATAAAACAATTTTTTTTTTTTGGCCCTGTGGGAGGGGTTTGAACCCGGAAATCCCCCGTATGTACGCCGCTGAGTACATATTTTAGTTCAGTCTATTGTTTTTATGTGCTATAAGTTACGTACTCTTTTTATTATTATTTTCTTACTAAGGACCCTCCAATACTGTTAAATTCGTCATACAGCTATCCAGTTCAACTGTCGACGTTCAATTATTGCAATACCTATATTGTAAAATAAATGACAACTAAGAGATTCGTATTGATAATTTTCAATAAAAAATACAAATTTAATTCTACATAAAAAAATATTTATAAAATTATTAACAATTCTGATAAAAACTATTTTATTTTATTTGTAATATATCACAATTACCTTAGACAAAAATAAAATTTGAATATAGTTTTACCAGAGGCAACTTCAAGTATTTTAATAAGCAGGTTGTTCTTTCAACTTATTTAACACTCCAAAAAAACCCAAAACATTTGCTACTATAATGAACAATATTAATATTATCAGATCCAAATAAAAATCATCACTTGCATAACCATATTTGTTTAAAACGGCTTCCCCGCTGTCTAGACAATTAGAAACATCAGTACAAGCTGCAAAATTAAAAAAAAATTCAATTTAATTGAAAATTGATTGTAACAAATTTGTCATTCTGACTTACGTAGATATTTTATTTTGGACCAAAATAAAGTAGATATTGTTTCGCAACCAAGGTAGAATAACGAAAAGTATCTTACAATGTATAAAAATTTTGGTAAAGTCCTATAATTAAAAAATATTATGTAAATAAAATAAATAAATATGATCATAGAAATCACAATTCACTGACTTTAGTTATTACACTCAAAAATCACAATAGAGTAATTGAAAAATATTCCTAAATTATGTAGAACGAACAATAATTCTTTAAATGTAATCAATACCAACAAGAAATTTTCAAAAAGAATCAAAGTTTATGTACTCAAAAAGTAAAAATAATGTTTATATTAAAAAAAAATAATGTACGAATCAATAACAAGAAATTATTAAAAAGAATCAAAGTTTATGTGCTCAAAAAGTAAAAATAATGTTTATATTCAAAAAAAATAATGTACAAATTATTAAATATTATATATTTTTAAAAGACCACATTTAAACAATTAGATTTATAACCTTGTTTACTTTTTAATGACCTACAATCGTTTAAAAATTAAATAGATATCGATTAAACGATTAAAATTACGAAAAT